TTAAGTCATTATATTTGCATTTTTTGCTTTAGCTTCTAGCTCTCCAACCTCTTTCCAGACCATGTTCTTGTATAGCCAGCACATATGTATACATATACATACATATATATATATATATATATATATATATATATATATATATATATATATATATATATATATATATATATATATATATATATATATATAGAAGAAAGAGTATATGATTGATTTGATAATACATGTTTAAACATATTGAACATATTTTTTGTTGTAAATATATCGTACATAGTAGACATAATAAAAAAATTCATCAATGAATACCATCTTTGTACAACTAAATGTTTAAAATCATTTGAACCTAGTGCATTATATTATCTTGGATCAGTTGTCTAATTGCCTTTTATATGTATTACGATATCACTTATGCCTCCTTGAAAATTTGTTAATTTTAACACTTCATTCTCTATTTCTTACAATATTGTGAATGCATTAGTATAGGGATTTATCTCTTTTAATAATTTATCAAGACCACCCATTAGTTTCTCGTTGCATTTAGAATTGTGTTTGTTTTTTTATTTTTATCTCCGTTGCTTGAGCAGTATCTAAAATATTTCATTGTGAATAAGCTGCATATTTTTCATTATTTGGTTTGAAACTTCCAATATTTTATATATATAAAATTAGAGCCACCTACGGCAATGATCAATGAGGCTCTTTCATTTAAATATATTCGATGATTAGTGAAAGATCTCGATTCAACTTTGATCTTTATTTATATATCAATAAACGTTTTACAATTCTTTCTTTACATTTTAACTCCCTCGTTTTCCTTTTCGTTCCAACTTGTTTTCATTCTGCAGTTGTTCTCGGAAGCCACTGAAAATGTTTTCCAGCCATAGACATAAGAGATGTTGATGTCTGGAGAATACAAAAAAGAAAAACGCAAGCAAATGAAGTTAGTAATGGTGAAAAGGAAATAGGAACTTACTGCTGGCATTTTCTTTTAAGCCACTCAAACTTTCTTGTTCTCAAGGCCGGGAGCACTCCTTTTCACACCTGCAGAACCTGATCGAACCTGAACCTGATTGGTCCTTGCTTGTTTGCAGCGGAGGATCTCCTTTCTAAGATGTTGGCCGTGGATCCGAAACAGAGGTCGTCCTCTGTCACATGAGATCAAATGCTTCCATTGGCTGGTATCCTCCCTTTCCCAGCGTCTTGTATAAAATTGCTCCTAGCCCCCACATTTCGATGGCTGCCATGTAGAGCTCCAATCCTTGTTCTCCACCACCTCAGCTGCCAGGTACTTCGCTGTTGTGATATATCCTAAAGGTGCTGATCACCACTTGTCATGCATGTTTAGCTTGGAAAGAATGTTGTCGAGCTTGAGATTCTGGTGAACCACGCCCCTCAAATAAATCTCTTTGAAGGTCTTTACCAGCTGCTTGATGATTCTGGCTGCTTTCTCCTCACCAATCTTCTCGCAAATATGCTATATTTAAAAGACCAAATAATTATGGAATAACGCCTTAAGAAGGGAAGGCAAAATTTCCACCAACGAACACAACCACTGGAGGAAAAATGCCCGTGCCCTGTCCAAAAGGAGACTCAGACAACACCACAAAGTCAGCAAACTTTCCTGGCATCAGCGACCCAACCAAATCCTCCAATGCAGCTGCATACACAGCCGAGGATGTGTACCTGTGAATCCAGAAACAAAAACTGCATTTCAGTTTCTCATCTGTTATCTCTTACCCTGCCACTACGTCCCATGCAGAAATCCTTTCCTCGGGATGACTCCAGCCTGAAGTGTTCTCTCCACGGCTGTGCGGATTCCTCCAAGTGGATTCACTGCTACCACCTTGAGACAAACCATTCATGTAACACAGAAGAAAAAGTATTTGACAGGCTTACAGGCCAGTCAGATCCTAGAGCAACCACACTACCGTTTCCGAGGAGGGAAATCATTGCACTTCACCAGTTTATACCCCTCTTTGTGGCAAGCCTGTAGCTTTTGCGTTATAGAAGTGTAAAGTAGGGACCATGTATTAGCACCCACTCTGCAAAAGAGAGTCGATTAGGAAGGATTCTAGCAGTGTATCACCTTTTCACGTCCGTGTTTACAGAAGATTATAAAGAAGGTAAACTAACAAAAAAAAGCACATTACTAAAAAACAATCTTTTGTATTGTGTAGACAAAGAAGAAACAACTGATAATCCAGAAGAACAAAGAAAGGGTGAGGCTGTGTAATAAAGACTTTGTGAAACTTTAATAATTATAGGAAGAGCAGGTATAGATATCCATGGTTTCTTTGAACTTCTTTTTGCTCGGTTAGCCTTTACTACGGCCTTTTGGACGTCCTGTGGTTTCCTCCTGTGATGTTTTCCTTCCTGGCATTAGAGAGTAACTGAGGATGTAAGATTGCACTGCCTGAGCAAAGCCAGGCTTGTACGAGAAGAGCAGCCCATGGAAGAGCTTCCCATCGATGGAGGCTTCTAGCGTGTATCCGTAGTTGAATACGTCGCTTACTCTAGCCTCGAACATCTTCTCGCCTAGCGGCTGAACGTGAGCTTGAAACTCTGTAGCATGAGTTTGACAGAGAAAATTTGGAGAGGTCCAAGGTTTTCTGCAGATACCTCCGTGAGATGAAACCAAGCTCTTGTCCACATCCCGTTGCTTGTCTAGCACGAATGGCGTGGCACGATACTCTTGCCGCCTTCTCTTAAGTTCCTTACGCATGGGTAGCTTTGGTTCTGATGGATCTTTCTCCCTCAGCATCTTTTCACAGAAAAATGGCAACCATATTGTCAGCAGCAATGTCAATAAAAGAAGAAGCCAACCTGTGTCGAGGAAATACATGTCATTCAGAGCTTCAAGCTCTTCATTACATCCCCCATAGAAGAATAATATGCCTCGCTCTGCGTTCACCAGCTCTTGGCATCAGCTCGGCACCAGTCGTCTTTACCTCCCGCCATGCCATTGTTTCTGGAAACACAAATGAATTCGCAAGTTTAAAACCAGCACAATGTATGTACCTGTGTCCAGAATATGAATGTCATATAGATAGGCATTACCACCATTCTCGCCGCCCATGACAACGCAACAGTTCTTATAGGAAGAGCAGGTATGGATATCCCGAGGAATAGGCGAGACTCCAGTGGTAGAAATCTTCTTCCAGACAAAAGTATCTACAGGAAAAAAAAGAGTTTAGAAGAAAACCAGGAAAGATAACAGGATATTACTTGTGTTCAAAACATGGAGGTCGTTGTAGTGCTCCTCCTCTGAGGGATCGCTGGATTTCCCACATCCCCCAAACACGAACAGGTTGTCACCGATGAGAGATGCGCTATGTCCTTCTCTCGGAGCAGGAACATCACCAAAAACGTCGGGTTTCCCCCAGGTGTTGGTAGCTGCATCGGAAGATAAGAACAAGAAAAAAAAATCGATAGAACTCGCTTACCAGTATCCAAAACAAAGAGATCGTCTAGCGGGCTGGTTCCATCGGTACCACCAAACCCATAGAGCTTAGACCCGACGGCCATGGAGCTGTGGCTGTCCCGAGGAGAAGGGTGCGTTCCTTTCATCACAGGCTTGCTCCAGATGTACGTCCCTGCACGATCCCACCAAAACATGATCAAAACGGTTGAATAGCGAAGAGCAAGAGAGTGAAAAACCTTGATTCTAGTCGTGGTTCCAGCCTCGAGAACCTGGGACAAACAGAGACTCGAAAAAGAATAGCGACGAGCAAGAGAGTGAAGAACCTTGATTCTAGTCATCGATGACAACGTGAATCCCCTCGTTCTCCGAGACGTCGTCCCTGTCGTGCGCTCCATCAGAGCCTCTTCGCCTTTCACTCCCAATCCTCGTCACATTTCTGAGCAGAGCACGTCGATCTACCAAATGCACCTGCGCAGGCGGATGCCGGCGGATTTGTTCCCCGCGTAAGTCTGGAAGTCGTCGAGCCTTGTAAGTGGACTTAGCATATATAACAAAAGCACCAATATATCAAAGTGGCCAGTCATGTATTCACATGCAGCATCTTTACGTGAGAGGTGGCCTTTACAAGGAGGTATCTGACACTCGTCTTTAAATTCTATCGTATTCTTTGTTCTCAAATCAAGCTTTGATCTAACATATTTGGTGCTGGTTGTGTAGGTGAAGGCTGCATTGATTGCTGCCTTTAAGAAAATCAAAGGTGGAGATCCTCGCCAAGACAACACGTCCATCAGGCCCATGATATCCAAGTCGTCGGCAGCTATAGTAGAGAAGAGTGTGAACGAGGCAGTGAAGGCAGGTGCCAAACTTCTAGTTGGTGGTAAGCTAAGGGGAGCTTTCATGGAGCCAACGATCCTGGAAGACGCTCCCTTTGACACAGACGCAAGGAAGGAAGAGATTTTCGGTCCTGTGATCCTTCTCTACTCATACAAGTAGGCTCTCAAAGTTTCTTAGCTCACAAAGTTTTTATTTACTCTCTCTAAACTAAATTGGTGGTGACGCAGTGATTTCAAGGAAGCCGTGAAGGAAGCTAACAACACGCATTGTGGTCTCCAAGCCGGCATGTTTATGCATGATCTAAACAAGGCCTTCTATGCGTTTGAGCACATAGAGGTAGCTTTGCGTTTGAGATATATAAAGTATTGATCGTTTGTTTGATGATTATTTGACCTTCACAAGCTGGAGGAGTTTGCCTCAACGATTCGCCAAGCATGTGCGTTGATAGCCAGCCATATGGTGGGATCAAAGACTCTGCAATCCAACGAGAGGGTGTCAAGTACGCGATGGACGACATACTCGAACCAAAGTTTTAGTCATGCGCAATGTAGGTAACGCGTCTTACTTTTGATCAAGCTCGAGCTCAAGCTTTTGAGAAGAGTAAATACAGTCTATCCACAAATCATTGCCGAGTTGTCCTCGTTTGCTCGCTCGCTCTCTAGCACCATCAGCCTTTTACCTTTAGGACGGAGAATGCTTGTCTATAAGCTCCTGGGAGAAGGTCCATAGCTTGTGAGCGAGCTCGGGATCTCTGCCATAAGCGCTACAGATGGATTTGTTGGAATCCACGAAGTATTGCCCGGTGACGTCCTTGAGGCTTGGATGTAAAGCCGTGTAGCACGTCGTAGCAGCGTCCTGAGAGATCACTCACGTATTAGTCATGAAAAACTTCCAGATAATTGGGAGAATTCTTCTTACCTGTGGCACATTTTTCCAAAGGAAGCTGGAGAAGAACTTGAGAAACCCTGCATGAAGATCAAAGTTCCATAAGTAACCGAAAACAGACAAACTCATTATGTAGAATGTGTGCCACATCAAAGGCAACATTATAAACCCTGGGTGAACAGCGTTGGCTGTGATGTCAACTCCTTCGGCATAATCAGCGAAAGAGAAAGCATTGACGAAAGAGAAAGGTGGGAGAGATTTCAAAGCATTAGACAAATACCTTGAATCTCATTGCCAGTTCTTTGGCATGGAGGATGTTCACGAGCTTGGATTGACTGTATGCTCTAGTGTCGGAGTACCTTTTGGAAGAAAAAAGAAAGAATGTAAGCTCATGAGAAAAGAAAATCGTTTGGTGTACCAGGCTTTGTCATTAAGATGTGAGAACTGGATTCCACCACTGTAAGAGGCGATGTGTGTGGTGGAGGAGAGATTGACAATTCTTCACTAGATGCCACTTTCGTTGGCAGTCTCCATCATTTTGTCCAGGAGCAAGTTTGTGAGAAGAAAATGGCCTAGACATCACAACAAATGAAAGAAAAGAGTCAAGACTCCCGAAAAATTCCATGGCGCATACCCACAGATGGTTTGTAGCGTAATATCTAGAGGTTCACAAGTCGCTGGTGGCTTGTGAACAGCCATAATAACCGTTTCTTAAACCTAAAACCAAGCTCTTTGCCACCATGTCACAATCCTCACCATTGCTTTGGAGCATCACAGATCTGGATTGTTGAATCAAGAGCATCTGCCATAAGAAAAAATGGATATTCTAAAAATGGAATATGTGACGCCGATGCCAAAATAGCAACTTTAAATAAAGAGTTTGACTAGCAGAGACCCCAGCTCCGCTGGGAGATATAGCATACCCAAGATCTTCTTTTCTAATTTTACAATGTTAAAAATTTTGATTATATACAAGTTCAAATGATATTATATCAATTGTTATAAGATATAATTTCTTTCTCTTGATATCAATTGTTTAAATGCAAAAGACTGGCATTCTGGCCATGCACAGCTCTACATGACTCAATGCCATACAACTCCATACCATTGGGATGCCTTTGAAGGAAGACATCACTCGAGCTCTTCAGTCAACTTTGCTCCTGGTTTCAGCAAGACACAGGTGGCCTTGCATCCACAAACAATGAGCTCCTCCTGTACAAGTGCCTCTTTATGGGGCAAAACCGTCACAAAAAATGAATAAAAGCATTTCAACCCTTTTACCATGTGTTTTAATCTAGGCATTCATTTGAAAGTGATCAAATAGTAACTGCCCAAGTCCTCCAAGTGAGAATGGAATTGAGAGATAACATATAATAAGTAAAGAAAAGATTCTTAATCAGCAAATCAGCAAACATGACAACAGATGATGTACCTGCTGACAAATCTTGCAGATGGTGTCCTCTTTTTTGTTGCACCAGTGCTACACATGCGTTTGATGAGCATACTACCAAACACAAAAGAGAGAAAAAAAATGAGGAAGAGCCAGAAAATTGCTTAGAACTCTCAGACCACATATTATAGAAAATTATAAGATTATTAAGATCTAAAAAATTTCAGTTCAATCATAAAATTAAAATTAAATTATTAAACACAGCAACTATCTAAAGGAGAACATGATTATCAACAAACATAGATTATAAGACATATTAATATATTTTATAAACATAGATCTAGCACTTAAATAATAATATTGTTATATTTTTTTATGGTACTATAATTAATAGAGTATAATAACATTATCACTGCTAGATTATATATATTAATCTATATATGTGGTCTTAGAACTCTCAGACTAAGTATTTCAGTCTTCAAGATTAGCATTTTCTACAACATCCATCTTACATTATGTAAATATCATATAATAGTGTATTACAGAGTTCAGTAGTTATAACAGAATCCATAATCTTAGCAGAGACCCCAGCTCCACTGGGAGATATAACATACCCAAGATAATTAATTCTTCTTTTCTAATTTTACAATATTAGAAAATTTTATTATATATAAAGTTAAATTTATCTAAAATTTCCTAGTATTCATCTCCAAAGAAATGTACAATAATGTAAATAAATAATAATGCATGTTGGGGAAGTAAAATCATTTTTTATTGTCATTAAATTTGAATTTGATGTTTTTATTGTCTTTATTTAAAAATGCACAACCCTAAATACATCTACAGCATTGCTGTCATGCTTTAAAAGCAATTAAATTTTCACAAAACCAAAGAATCATAGACTACCAAAAAATAATAGATTAGTTTAGAGAAATTATAATTTTAATTGCATACTGAGTTAAATTCTTTTTATGTGAACTATAATGATGCCTCTAACATTCACACTTTACTAAATAAAAATAGAATTTCTATTATATGTCTGGTTTAACATTTTAAAACATACATAAATAAATCTATCTAGCTTGCTACCACGTTTTGTTTTATTTGAGAAAACTCTGGAATTTCAACATTTTGGGAGGTCATCCTACTCTAACCCTAAGATATTAAACCCCCCGAGTATCCTAATACCCTTAACCAATTGGAATAAAATGTGCACTTTTATTTAAAAATCCTTTCCCTTTATATTTAATTTTATATATATCATCTTTCAAATTATTCTTTTTTGTTGCATATAATCCACCATACTTCTTTTGTAAGTTTACACCCTCATGAATGAAAGCTTATAACCATCACTCTCCTAAGACCCGTGCTCTCTTGCCATAGCAAGGATCCCAGCTCTGCTGGGAATGTATCTTGGTTGGCAAACTTACTATTTTAAATGCATACAAGGTTAATTTGTCAAGAATTTACTACCATCTATATTCATTGTATCGTGCATTTGTTATATCATTATGATTTATTAGTTGGTGGAACTGAAGATGGTTTGGAATATTTATCATCTGGATGTCAAGCCATAAGAGATAGCAATGAGTAGTTTATATTTAAAATTCTCTTTGTTGAGTGAAGTCTTCTATTCTAGTCTTGTACTGTATTTTCTATTGTATCTACTATATACCATCTTTGCACAACAAAATTATGTTTAATTTTAATAATATAGTATTGAATCAATAAAATACTCTTTGTTCTGTAAAGGTTTTGTTCTATAGAACAATGAGTATGCTGAAATATTTTCAGGGAGATATATCATACCCAAGATAAATAGATCTTCATTTTTAATTGTTCAATGTTATAAATTTTGATTGTATGCAAGGTTAAATTTATCTTAATTTTGCAACTATTCATCTCCAGAGAAATGGAAAATAATGCAATTAGATAATGATGCGAATGTTTGGGAAGATAAGATCATA